TTAATTATAACTAATAGGAAAAATTTCAACCACACCCTTTCTAGTTTACCATATCTTCAAGGATACTCCTCTATTTTCTGAATCTTCACTAACACTCCTATCAAATTAAAAGTGTTAACTACAATGCAATTTTGCTAAATTGCCTATGATAAATTTTAGGAAAAACTTCATCTGCACCCCCTCTAGATAGATATATTTTCAATAAGACCTGTTATATCTTTTAAATTTTTTTACGTATTAAAATTCGAACCGTTTAAAAGTTGGTTTAAGTTAATTAAAATTTATTTTTTACGTATGAAAATTTTGAGTCGATCAAAAGTTATATTTTTGAACTCAAATTTTAATACGTAAAAAATAAATTTTAATTAATTTGAATTAAATTTTAATTGACAAGAATTTTAATAAGAAAATATATAAATTTTAATCGACTCGAAACAAATTTTAATCTGCGCTAAGTACTCAGATAGAACTCAAATCGGCTTGAATTTTAATATGTAAAAAAATTAATAGGCTCGAATTTTAATACTTAAAAAAATAAAATTTAATCAGCTCGAATCGAATTTTAATCAGTTCAAATTTTAATATGTTGAAAAATGAATTTTAATCAACTCAAATTTTAATATTGAAAAATTGAATTTTAATCGGTTTGAATTTTAATCAAATTTTATATAAGAAGATTGTTTGAGTTTTATGTAGGGATAATGATGGTATTTTTTTTTTATTAGAAATGGTTATTTAATGGCAGGAAGTGTCAATGATGTTTAAATATAAATTAGGAGTGTCAGCGATGTTTTGCATAATAGAGGGGGTGTTCTTCAAGGTATGATAAACTAAAAAAAGTGTGGCTGAAATTTTCTCCGACTAATTTCACGTAATATTTTGAATTTCATAAACATAATGATGAAATTGATGCAATTTATGTTGATCACTAAACACTGTAAATCGTCATAAATTATGAAATTACATTAGGGTACAAAACCCTTTCCTGTCATGATGGCCATGTAATTCCATTTCTCAACAAACTAGACATTGGTGTTGTAACACAGAGATAAACATAATTGCAAGAACATAGAGTTTCTATAATTCTATGTATTATGAGTGAATGAAGTCTCTTTGGGACCAAAAGCCTAACATTTGGAATGCAAACTCTCTGATAGTGAAACCTATAGGAGGATGTGTTCTAAACCTATTATATATTTTTTTATTTCCTTCTAATTTTTTAATACAGAGAGTAATCACATACAAAGCGAGATAGATTATAAAAACACTGATATTTAGGAATGAATATGTGCACGACCTTGCGGCACTTGCGAAGACCTACTAACTGAAAGTGATATTGAGGACAAGGAAAAAGCAGGTGTATAGGACCTCCCCAAGTGCGGCATCTATCTCTCTCTCTGAGTGGATTTGGATTTGAAAAAATGGGGATTTTAGAGTTGAGGTTTGTGGGCTTTTGACCCTCAAAATGAAAGCGCTTTTGCATTGTGGGAGTAGCTTCAAAGTTTATGAAAGAAACGACACAAGCACTACTAGAGACAAGACAGCCGAGTGACTAACATTGATGATCTCACAAAAGGAAGACATGGAGGGCAAAATTGTCATACTACAAAAAGTTATGAAACCCATCAGCTAAGAAGCACAGATACGGATACGGATACAGATATGGATACGGAAAAATCTCAATATATGGGACACGGGTACGGCGAGGATACGGCTAATTAAAATAATTATATATATAACGACAATATTAATAATAACAAACAACCAAAACATAGCTAACATTACTTAAATTGAAATAGATCAAAGATTCAAAAAGATACATCCATAGTCCACAAGTTTGCTAACAAAAGAACACAAAAACAAAAAGAAACCTACATCCTCCCTCAATTCACTTCAACGCGCTCAACATTCTCATTGTCAATTCTTTCATCAATAAAGCGTATGGCCTCCAAATCTGGTTCATCAAGGGAAAGATTTGCAATATCAAGCATCTCACTACCCTCCTCATCTATGGAATCAAATGCATCTCCTGCAACATCCCACATCTTAGTGTTGCCTTCCTTGTATTGAGGAGATTTTCTTGATAGAAGACGGAGATTGGAGTGTACAAATACCAAGTCTTCAGCTCTATCTGGTTTGATTTTGTTCCTCCTTAAAGAGTGTATAAAAGAATAAGTGTTCCAATTCCTCTCACAACATGAGAAGGAACAAGGTTGTCCCAGTAACTTCAAAGCCAAGTTTTGGAGCAAGGGTGCCGTAGAGCCATAGATAACCCACCAAAAAGCCAGCTATATGAGTCATCTATCACTTATGGAATCATGACTTCCAAATTCTTTAAATCACGCTAAAAACTTGGCGTACTCCTCTTTGGTCTTTCTTTGCTCCTCCAAATTAGAAAAGTATCTTTGAAAACACTTTTCTCTTTCATTTGAAATCTGTTCATCTTTGTGTGGACGAACACAATTAGGAGCCATAGAAAGCCATTCCACGCTATAATACCTAAAAGACAAAGTAAATAAAATGATAATCATTTGATATCTAGAAAATTAAATTAGAATCTTAAAGTTTAGAGCTTACAAATTACCTCGGATTCAAGGAATGTGCCAAGCAATGGAGCGGTGTGTCGCTCTTGTCCCATCTATCCATTAATATTTCATAAACCACCGAATAAAAGGTTGATTCCTCATCTTCCCGCTTCCCTTCGTGACGAAAGATAATAACCTTCACTTTCGTAATCATAGAATCCCACATATCAAAAACTAATTGTTGGCAAGGTATATTTGTTTCGGCCTTCCTTAGCATCTCATAAATGGGTTCAGTAAAGGAAATTATATAATCAATTTTGTCCGACCACAAATCATTTAATATTTTCTCCTTCACAAAGGCCGCTTTGCAACATCATCTTCTCTATAAGAAGACTACCGATTACTAATAACCATGTTTTGGAGACCACGTTTTAAAACTTTAAATCTCACAATGGTTGAAGCAAAACGTGTCTCCGCAATTGAGAGCATCTTCAAATTCACATGATCATTAAACATGTCCAATCTTATGTTGTGGTTCACAATAAAATTTTTAATGCCCACATAATCCCCAGCAATAATTGAGATCCAATTATACTCTTCATAAACACGTCCATTGGCTTCGGTGTTTTTTGGTGCACAAATATTCTTCAAAGCAAGATTAAGTGTGTGCACCACACAAGGGGTCTAAAAGATGTGTTTATGACGACCCTAAAAAAGCATTCCCGCACTCTTACAAACGGGTGCATTATCAGTGATCACTTGGACCACATTTTGAGGTCCAACTGCATGAATGATCTCCAGAAGTAAGTTGGATATGAAATATTTGTCCTTATATTCACCTTCACAATTAACTGCTTTCAAGAACTTAGGCCCACTTTCACACACTGTTATGAAATTTATGATTGGCCTCCTTTGAGCATCCATCCAACCATCAAAAATAATACTTATACCTTTTTCTTTCCACAATTGCTTCATTGGCTCTAACAACCTCTCAATGTTTGCTCTCTCTTTTTGAAGAAGTAAAGTCCTCAACATATTATAAGTAGGAGGGATATAGCCACTAATCATATGAGTAGCTGCAAAAGAGTGAGAGTGACAATAATGTGGATTCCTTGCAAGGTGAAATGGTAAACCGGCTGAGTAAAACTTCCTTACAATCTCACTATGTAGCTCTTCTTGAGCTCCAACATTAAAGGCTTTCTCAAGAACAAAAGTAGTCTTACTTTTTTTTTAGGTCTAAACCAGTCCCTGCATTAATGAATCAAATCCCATTCCCATAGCACTACTAATACTTGCACTCGAGGAAGCAGGTTTGCTTGATGCTAAAGATGGTGGTAAAGGGACTTGTATGGGCACACTTTTTCTCATTCTCACCTTAGTTTCATCAGCTAACCTTTGTATTTCAATTAATAATTGTGGAGTCACTTTCTGGCATACTTGAACTCCATGACCGCTGATTTTTAACAAATGTGTCTTAACCCTATAATATGATCCTTTAAAACTCAGTTGATACAAATTGCATTGAAACCGAACATTTCCTCCCCATACACCAATTTTATCTATTTTTGTGCAATATTTCCATAAAGGGGTGTGATCATCACTACCATCCCCACTGCCAAGAGAACTCATTTTCCTGAATCCTAAATAACAGGCAACAACACATCAATTTTCAGAAGGCAGCAGGCAGCACAGATGACAATTTTCAAAACCAGCAGGCAGCAGCACACTAACACAGAAGGCAACAGCACAGATCACCAAAAAAAAAACATAGCAACACAACGAAAAAGAGAAGACAGAAGCTAGCTAGAAAAGCAATTTTCAGTATTTAAAACTAGTAGACAGTAGCACACTAGCATAGAAGGCAGCAACACAGATGACCAAGACTAAAAAATAAAACCCGAAGGCAGGAAACAACACAGCACCAAACCAAAAAAAAATTCTCAAATTTTGAAAACCCTAAAAATCCCTAATCAAATTAACCTAATCAAATTTTTTAAAAGTCTACGCTCCGTACAGACTAGAAGACGAAGAGATAAGAGCAATAGTAGCAGATCTGAAAAAAAAATTGAAGCAAGAAGAAGAACCTGCAAGATCGCAGTCACAGATCGCCGTCGTAGTCGCAGGTTAGTCTTCCTTCCTCTTCTCCTCCTTCTCCTCTTCTCTTCTCTTCTCTTCTCTTCTCTCTCTCTCTCTCGAACACACTGAATGTCGATTGGAGACGTTCGGTTCACAGATCAGATGCCTTTTGTTTTTTCTCTTTCAAGCCAAAACGACGTAGCTTTGGCCTTTATTTTTTTTCGTTTCGGCCCCCTTAAGTTTTTAAAATAACAAAAGTACCTCGCCGTATCCCCCCCGTATCCGACCCGTATCCAACCAAAAAAAATCACAGCCACTGTTAAGGACATTTTTGCATGTGTCGGACACGTGTCCGACATTGCCACGACGACCCCCCAACGAGTATCCGTGCTTCCTAGGTCATAATGGAACTGTACCATTATCAACATTTTCAAGCTTGAAACCATGGAGCTTAAATGGACAAACATCTCATTTAAGTGAGACTAAAACAAGAAATGCATTGATGATGCGTGCACAAATCCAAAATAGATGGATGCAAACTTTTGATTCCCCAGCAAGAACAGATTACCTGAGGAGCTTGTTTCTCAGAATCTAAAGCTTCTTGTGGTTTTGGCTTTTGGTTTCCAGACAAGCCAAAAACCTGCGATGGGCCAGATACAGCAGAGACATTTACATCTGGCCCCAACAAAGTGGTCCTCCTTCCATCCTCTAATTTCACCAGTTTTGAAGGGCGCTTCATTGGATCTAAACTGTCACGGACCAGGTCGGCTTTCTCTGATATGTCTGAAGACGAGCTGGGATACGTATCAACTCTATGGCTCCAAGTTGAATCATTAGTAACTTGTGGAGGTCTATTAGAGTCCTGTGCAATGCCAGATAATAATGAGGAGCTATGCTATTAACAGAAAGAATATAGAGAACATCAATTTTGTGTTATTAAAGAAATGACTTTTGCAAAGTATAGTAATGAAATAATTATCTATCAAAACAAACAATTTCTACAGCCACTAGCTGGTACATACTCTCAGTCAAAGCAAAGGTTGCATGAGTTTCAGTTTCAACTTATGCGAAGAATATGATCTTCTATATTCCTATTTACAACCACATCTGTTTTTAATTCTAGTTTATTACTCATGAAATTGAAGATGGAGATGCAACACCTTTTCTTCCAGGAAAAAAAAATCAACTGAGTTGAAAGAATGCTTTATACACAAGTTAGCCCAAGGACAACAGCATTCTTCAACAGACACCTGCGTTTGGCTATTTCCCTTATTTTTTATAATAAAAGACTGGGTTTTGCCACCTGAAAACCATGATCTGACAGTAGTGGATGAATCGAAAGAGAAGGTTGAAGGGGTGCATTTGGACCAATCAGCTGAGCATTATGTCCCAAAGGGCCGTGTAACAGAGGTTCCACTTCCTGCTTCAAAGAAGAGGAATTTGCCACATGAATTTGAGGCCGAACAGACAGATTGCCTAACTGCTGCATACAAACTGATGGAAGGGCTGAAACTCCAGACTGCCCAGGCAATTGGCCTCCTTGTAAAACTTGGTGCTGGGTTAGCTGTGGAAGCTGAACATGAGGCCGTGTAGGAAGTTGTGAGAGATATTGATTTACTTGACCTTCTTGTGATTGAGGCATCACGCCAAACTGCATCTTGTTCTGTAAAAGAGAGGGAAGCCCTGGAAGATTTTGAACTGCTGGCCGCTGACCCTGTTCACCATCTTGCAGCAAAGGCTTCAGAAGTGGACCGGAAGCCAGTCGACNATCACGCCAAACTGCATCTTGTTCTGTAAAAGAGAGGGAAGCCCTGGAAGATTTTGAACTGCTGGCCGCTGACCCTGTTCACCATCTTGCAGCAAAGGCTTCAGAAGTGGACCGGAAGCCTGTCGAATATTTTGCATCTGCAACTGCACAAATCAAAGAAATCAAATGAATTTTTGTCAGACAAGCTCCTGTAATGGGCAACTTGATATAACAGCATAACAACAAAACTTTGGAGTAACGAACAAACCATCTGTGGGGTAACCATTCCTAACATTATCTGGGCCTGCAGTAGAGACAAATACGAAGCTGTTAAATGCTGCAGACGACAATGGCTACACCTAAATTTTTATCCTAATGAAACACAAACAAGCCGAATAGATTCAAAAACTGATGATCCTAGATGCGGGAGAATAGGAAACCTAAGAACTCCAAAACTGTATTCAAACTCAAAATAGCATCCATCTAGGCAATCACCAAAACAAATGGACAAGCATCATTTTCATAGCTCTAAATAAGACAAATATAAACTACAATATAAGGACATCGGACGTGTGAGAGAGAGACTTTAAAACCTACACAAACAAGAAAATTCTAGAATGAAATTTTATATTTGACCCAGCGCTGGATCTTGACCATTTGGTATTACTAAACTTTCAAGAAGCAAATATCGAGATTTAGGAAAAGCCCAGGAACCTGTGGCAGAAGGGTATAAAAGTGTGACTAATGAAAAAGGTGGTCAATAGGATGCAAAATATTGTTTAATCCAGTTATGTGAATAAAGGTCTAGGGACATTATCTAAATATGAGGAATTTTCAAATGAGTTACCGCAGAACGAGAACAGAGAATATGCTTATGTTTTTCGGACCATCTTGATAGACGTTTTTTTTATAAAGAAGCATTTGGCATCGGTTGACTCACATTGATATAATACCACCTCCCAAACTAGTGTAAGAACCTTGTCAATCTCTCTACTTAGTGCTAGTTGATTCTGAGTTTGATAATTCACTAGCTTTGATACCATGTCAAACCACAACTCATTTCAAAACTAAAGTTGTTAAGGGAATGAGCCTATCAGTGCATATTTAGCTCTCAGCATCTCCCTATTGTGTGATCACTCAAACATGGAGGCTACGTACAATGATCAAAATTTCGTTTCAAAACGGTTGAAACATTCGAAACGTTTCNTGCATATTTAGCTCTCAGCATCTCCCTATTGTGTGATCACTCAAACATGGAGGCTACATACAATGATCAAAATTTCGTTTCAAAACGGTTGAAACATTCGAAACGTTTCCGTTTTTAAGGAGACGAAACAAATCAGTAATGGAATCTAAATTCTAATACTTTGAGGTGTTTTGTAATATTTCAATGTATTTTGCACAATTGTTTCAAGATGTTTCAATTTATTTCAAAACATCTTAGTATATTTCGACCAATGTTTTGAAAAAATATTATTAATTTTTTTTTCATTATATTTCCAAATGGGTCGAAATGTTTCCGNTATATTTCGACCAATGTTTTGAAAAAATATTATTAATTTTTTTTTCATTATATTTCCGAAATGGGTCGAAATATTTCCAAAATATGTCGAAACGTTTTTGTTTCTTAAATTATCAAAACAATGCACTGAAACGAAATTTTGATCATTGGCTACGTCGAACCAAGTGCATCAACATCTAGACATTATAACATGAACCTAGTGCATTGCTATTCCTATCATATGCAGACAGAGAGACTTGAATCCAACAACTCAAGGAACCAATTTTTTATTTTTTTTTTGTTTCTTGATAGGAAACAAAAACTTTGTATTAATAGAAAATGAAAGGTACATCAAAAAGTTAGATAAAGAATCCTAAAAAAAAGACATCAAAGCTTTTAAATCACATGAAGCTCCCCAATCCGCTAGAATAGCAAAAAGAAGAATTCCTTTAAAGTCCTTGGTTATCGATGCACAAAAAGACGTTAGCAAATAAGATCCCATAATTCTTCCATCCATTCGCTTCAATCTTCAAATATTATTGCATTTCTTTCCTTCCAAATAATCTCAAATGTTGAAAAAATAGCACAATGCTAAAGAGTCATGTCTTTATCAAGTCTCCTAAAACCTTTCCAATCTTCAATAAACAAGGATATAGAAAATTCAAGAATCACCTAACTCATATCCGCCAAGCCAACCAACGTATTTCACAAGGGCATAACAATAGGTCAACTTAGAAATCAATGATCAATGTTTTTCAAACCACCTTTACACATCATACACCACGGTAGGCTAGGATTAAAATTTCGTTTTAAAATGGTCAAAACAGCCAAAATGTTTCTGTTTCCAAGGAGACCGAAACGAATTAGTGATAAAATTGAAATTCTAATACTTTGAGGTGTTATATAATATTTCGACACATTTACACAATTGTTTCGGAATGTTTCAAGGTATACTTTGGTATATTTGAACTAATATTTTGAAAAAATAATTCTCAAATTTTTTATTTGTTTTCATTCTATTTTCAAAAAAGTTTGAAACATTTTCGAAACGGATTGAAATATTTTTATTTTTTTAGGTGAACAAAGCAATGCACCGAAATAAAATTTTGATCCTTGACTGTTGATAAAAACAAGTATGAGGCATTCTTTTCTAAAGTAAATCATTGGTGTTAATTTTATCATGTGTCACAGTTCATGCAAACACTTGAACTTTAATGAGGTCCTTAGCCCTCCGTATCATTGAAGCTGGGCCGAAAATAGGACAAGAAGAATCATTTAACAAATCAAAGATGGATTTACTAGAAAAGACACCAGAAGACTCACAAACCCATTTTCTTTTGTCACATGTTCTCGATTCAAAAAAGATAAATCAAGAATATAAAGAAAAGCTATCAAATACCTAGTACCTCTATCATCTAGATTCCTACAAAAACCAAAGTCCTAATAGTACGGATGATTATAAGACCAAAGCATAGCCACAATGAATATGCCATGACAATCAAACAATTGATAGAGATGAGGAAACAAAGATGAAAAATATGACTATCCAACCCATGCATTCTCTCCCCATCACATATAACTAGTTTAAGATTTTGGGAAAGTCTTGTCACTCCCTTGGCTACAAATTTCCACTTGCATTAGAAACTTCTTCTTTCAACCCTATTAGCATCCCATCCATTAGCTTGTAATCCATATTTACTCTTGATAACCAAATTTCATATAGAATTCCAACAAAATTTTAAAGGGGTCTAGATTAGGTGAATGGTAGTGTCTAGATTTTGGGATAAAGGGGTTTTTCAATTGGAAATTTTAAGGCAAGAAATATTTCTTTAGTGATCAAGAGCAAATATGATACATAAGTTTGCATGACTAATGCCCGCTCAAGCTTGAAAGGCATGCATAATTTTTAAAAGTCGGTACATAAAATGATTGATCTTAAAGAAAAACCAAAAAACAAAATGAAGGCTACATCTCACAAACAAATTTTTTATTTGTTCTAATAAGAAACAAAGGAGTTCTAATCGAAGCCCAACAACAATCCAAGAATTAAACTCTCTCCCACAAATCAAGCACTTCTTAAATGTATCTTGAAAAATTCTTGCCTTCATTTCCAATCACAGAGGCCAAAAGATTGCCCACACCACAAATCTCCAAAGAAAGCGAGCACTGCTCCTAAAGCCCTAGAATACAATGGAAAACATAGATTCACATAAGAGTGACACCCAACAAAAATCCATAAAAGGAAATAACCTTCTTCATTTGACATAGCAACAAGACAATGTAGAAAGAAATTATCACAACTCCACCCTCCTATACATAATAAAACACTATGTCACAAGTAAACAATGAAGTCTCCTTCTCTGATACAAGTTCGTGAGTATTGAGTCTCTTATGAGCAATAGTCCAAGGGAAAACTTCAATTTTAAGAGACGCACTTTTCCAAATAAATTTGCAAGGGACAAAAAAGTGGAATACTAGGATGATCAATCAGAATATCCAAATTAAAGATTTACAAGACGAAACCCTAGAATGAAATTTCAATACATTTGGTCAAACCCTAAAAGACAATTTCAATAAGTTCGGTCAAAAAGTACAAAATGTTCCATTTTTAGTTCTTTTAGGTGGATAAGAAATGAAACACTGGATAATTTTGTAGGTGCAATGTTACAGATAAAGCCAAAAATAATTTGTGCATTCTAGTGAAATGGTTGGCATTGCCCTCCTTCTCATTGTTTCACAAACACGTCTTAAGGAATGACAAACCAAGATAACCACCTTGGGGCATCAAATACAACCCTCGTGCTTGACTCCCATCAGAATATAATTCTAGTGGGAACAGCACTCAGGATCAATAAAAAAGTAAGATTTTTAGGAGCGGGAGTTTTTCGTATTTTCTCTTATCTTTCTTGCAAAACAAATAGACAAGAAGTAAGATTTTTCCCACATTTACCACCTATTTCTCATTAAACAAATGAACCCTTAGCTTTCATAAAGGAGTCTTCAGTATGAATGACTATGAGGTCAAAGCCAAACATCCAAAATTCAGAAGCAATCGTTCATGATGATACAACAATTGAGTTGACTAGAGGGTTAAGAAAATGTATGACACAACTTCTGAGATGGTTCGATCAGAACCAGAAAGTATAGGATAAGAAAGTCACAGGGACCAAAAATATGCTTTTCAAAAATCTAAGGCATAAAGCGCTGATAAAAAACCTGCAAAAGAGCTTTGGGCAACTGCGGGCTTGCAAGTAATAACTGGCGGGCTTGTTCCTGTTTTTGTGTAGCCATTACCTGAATCACACAAATGGATTTAGTACCATGTCATGTATTCAAATTTATTCAGAAACACAAGTCGAACTGGATTCAAACACTTACCTTCATCTCAGAAATAATCTCAATCAACTGGTTTCTTGACATTTTGGCCAGATGAAGAGTCAACAGATCGGTGCCCAAAACCCCCTGACCCTGTTGCCCACTTTGATTGGAGTTGATCCCAATCTGAGGACCTCCAAGAGCTCCCGCCATGAGCGATGCAACAGCCATAGCTACTGATAGACCTATTGGCTGCTTAAGACCAGCATCCCCAAGGATTGCTGGGCCTCCAAATTGTTTTTTAGGGTCTGAATTATCCATTAACAAAATGTTTTTAGGATTTATTCATATGAAAGAAATTGTAAACAAATTCGATGTGCCATAAGTAAAGAGTAAAATAAAACTAACCAATACTTGCGACCATTCCAGGTCCACCACGACCCTGCAAAGAAACACAATCTGCATTAGGATCATGGTAATAGTCAACTTTTCACACCCTNAAGTTTGAAACATTTTCGAAACGGATTGAAATATTTTTATTTTTTTAGGTGAACAAAGCAATGCACCGAAATAAAATTTTGATCCTTGACTGTTGGTAAAAACAAGTATGAGGCATTCTTTTCTAAAGTAAATCATTGGTGTTAATTTTATCATGTGTCACAGTTCATGCAAACACTTGAACTTTAATGAGGTCCTTAGCCCTCCGTATCATTGAAGCTGGGCCGAAAATAGGACAANTAAATAGAGCTCAGGAAAAATGAGAAAGCGCCCAAACCAATTGGCATGGCGAAGAAAATTGTTTAGCTTTATGCTTAGCTCCCACCATCAATCCAACAAGAATCAACATGTTTTTGTTGGAATTCTAAAATTATTGGAGACTACATTATGGGTTGCTATGCTAACCCCTATTTTTACCTCAATAATCACCCTAACAGCTAAAAAACTATGCAACGAGAATGTCACCAATAGGTTTTCCATTTAAGTGATNTCGTATTTTCTCTTATCTTTCTTGCAAAACAAATAGACAAGAAGTAAGATTTTTCCCACATTTACCACCTATTTCTCATTAAACAAATGAACCCTTAGCTTTCATAAAGGAGTCTTCAGTATGAATGACTATGAGGTCAAAGCCAAACATCCAAAATTCAGAAGCAATCGTTCATGATGATACAACAATTGAGTTGACTAGAGGGTTAAGAAAATGTATGACACAACTTCTGAGATGGTTCGATCAGAACCAGAAAGTATAGGATAAGAAAGTCACAGGGACCAAAAATATGCTTTTCAAAAATCTAAGGCATAAAGCGCTGATAAAAAACCTGCAAAAGAGCTTTGGGCAACTGCGGGCTTGCAAGTAATAACTGGCGGGCTTGTTCCTGTTTTTGTGTAGCCATTACCTGAATCACACAAATGGATTTAGTACCATGTCATGTATTCAAATTTATTCAGAAACACAAGTCGAACTGGATTCAAACACTTACCTTCATCTCAGAAATAATCTCAATCAACTGGTTTCTTGACATTTTGGCCAGATGAAGAGTCAACAGATCGGTGCCCAAAACCCCCTGACCCTGTTGCCCACTTTGATTGGAGTTGATCCCAATCTGAGGACCTCCAAGAGCTCCCGCCATGAGCGATGCAGCAGCCATAGCTACTGATAGACCTATTGGCTGCTTAAGACCAGCATCCCCAAGGATTGCTGGGCCTCCAAATTGTTTTTTAGGGTCTGAATTATCCATTAACAAAATGTTTTTAGGATTTATTCATATGAAAGAAATTGTAAACAAATTCGATGTGCCATAAGTAAAGAGTAAAACAAAACTAACCAATACTTGCGACCATTCCAGGTCCACCACGGCCCTGCAAAGAAACACAATCTGCATTAGGATCATGGTAATACTCAACTTTTCACACCCCAAATAGAGCTCAGGAAAAATGAGAAAGCGCCCAAACCAATTGGCATGGCGAAGAAAATTGTTTAGCTTTATGCTTAGCTCCCACCATCAATCCAACAAGAATCAACATGTTTTTGCTGGAATTCTAAATTATTAGAGACTACATTATGGGTTGCTATGCTAACCCCTATTTTTACCTCAATAATCACCCTAACAGCTTAAAAACTATGCAACAAGAATGTCACCAATAGGTTTTCCATTTAAGTGATATAGACAAGAAGAACCCACATTTTATGCCAATAAAGAAGTAGGACCTTTCAAAAGGATCCTTTTTTGGGCTTTATTTTGAAGTGTAGTTTTTCATTCTATTTTCAACTATATATATATATATATAGTGGAGCAGAAGAATATCCCTCCCCAACTAGGCGACTACGTTTTTTTGTTTGAAATTCCATGTCTGGTCTTCTGGTATTTGCTTTTGCTCACCCACTATGTTTTTTTCTTTTGAGTTCTTTCCCCACCTGATTNAGAAGAACCCACATTTTATGCCAATAAAGAAGTAGGACCTTTCAAAAGGATCCTTTTTTGGGCTTTATTTTGAAGTGTAGTTTTTCATTCTATTTTCAACTATATATATATATATATAGTGGAGCAGAAGAATATCCCTCCCCAACTAGGCGACTACGTTTTTTTGTTTGAAATTCCATGTCTGGTCTTCTGGTATTTGCTTTTGCTCACCCACTATGTTTTTTTCTTTTGAGTTCTTTCCCCACCCGATTGAGCTGTCTGAGGTCGATGGTGCATCCGGTAAGCTCTTTCGGTATTCATCTCCAGAGCCCGGTCAAATGCTTCAATCCTTCATTCATATTTTGTCTCAATATCTTTTTTCATGTCTATTTTGCAAGTTTACAGCTTGAATGTTTTACTAGTCTTCCTCTCCCATGTGATAAATGAGCAGTCTCCCCTAGACCTTCTTCCATCTAAGCTCTCATAGTATTCATCTTTCTTCCTTCTCTCTTCTCTGCTGCACATCTGTATTCTTTCCCTCGCTTTATAANTCAATATCTTTTTTCATGTCTATTTTGCAAGTTTACAGCTTGAATGTTTTACTAGTCTTCCTCTCCCATGTGATAAATGAGCAGTCTCCCCTAGACCTTCTTCTATCTAAGCTCTCATAGTATTCATCTTTCTTCCTTCTCTCTTCTCTGCTGCACATCTGTATTCTTTCCCTCGCTTTATAGAGATCTTGGCGTGGCATGCAAGCCTCAAAACTAAAGAGGGAGAATGCAGAACCATGTTTCACATTTTATAAATGCTTGATACAAATCTCATAAAACTTATATTTTGCTACATTTGTTTCTATAACTATTCCTCTGCCCCTGAGTAAGTGCCTCCAAATATCCATTCAGGATTTGCCTAAAATATATCCCAATTGGCAAGTCAAAGCTATTTACACCTACTTTTCAAATTATAACCAAATATATGAAAAGATTTGCCACCATTACCACTTAGGCAAATGTAGCAACTAAAAAATTTATTACTAAAGTCAATGCATTCAAATTTTTCATAAAACTACATGCCAAGTAAAGGAGGATAATAGTATAGGGGCGGAGGAGGGAGTTAGGAACATATCATCTTCATAAGAAATAACAATAGTAATCGTTGTAATCATAAACTAGATCACATACTGTGGGAGCGCGAGAATGGAATAATTCAAACAAATCTTAGAACGGAAACACCTTGAGAACGTCATAATATATACATAAATACATAGATGATCCCTTGATTGATACTCTTAACCATGTGAATTGTTTAATGAAATAGTATCCAATTTTTTGTTCATTATTTCACTCAATTTTATCATAAAAAATACAATGAAATATTAGAGAAATATTACACTGGTACAATGGTAAACATAAAAGTCAAAATTTCAACAACAGAATTTTTTATAAAATTATTTGCAAGAGTTTTTAAGACTAAGAGATAAAGACATAGAGTTTGTGAGAATAAATACATATTATAGAGAACTCATGAAGAAAAGCTTAAAAAAATTATAAAAAACTGGAATAATAGAAACTATTAGCTGAACAATAAAGATAAAGGCAATTAGATAAATAAGTTAACTGCCAATGAAGAATACGAAGTCGTTGGTACTTGGTACTTTCTCAACAGTGAAAATACAAGATCTCTTATATTTGAAAGGGCTGCCAAACAATTGATATTTAAATATTTTTTTATTTTTTTTATTTTTTGGATCCATTTGTGTAAGGTTAAAGAGTCAAAATATAAGTTTAAGAGTCAAGATTCAAAATCACAAACTTGAGTCCATGTGTCAAAAATATTTTTTATTTTCAGCAATTAATATAAGAAAATTATCTTTTATTATATAAATTTTTAAAAAATAATTTTTATTCTAATAATATATTATCTACCTATAGAGCATTTTTGAAATAATTAATCTTATTTGAATATTTAATATGGGGTTAAAAATAATTGTTATTAAAACAGATCTCTAATTTGCGAATTTGATTCTAAATTCGCGGATTTAATGATATGAATTCACATATTTTGCTTTGTCAAATTCACGAATTTTGTAATACTAAATTCGAAAATTAGAGAGCACGAATTCATGGCCAATCCGCTCTCAAAGTGCGAATTCGCACAGGGAATGATAGAGAGGAGGGAGTTTTGGCCGAATTGTGTGACTCGGTACGAACATTTAGAACAATTGTGAGNTGATTCTAAATTCGCGGATTTAATGATATGAATTCACATATTTTGCTTTGTCAAATTCACGAATTTTGTAATACTAAATTCGAAAATTTGAGAGCACGAATTCATGGCCAATCCGCTCTCAAAGTGCGAATTCGCACATGGAATGATAGAGAGGAGGGAGTTTTGGCCGAATTGTGTGACTCGGTACGAACATTTAGAACAATTGTGAATGTAACTTTTAAGCTAGCTTCATCCTCTTATTTCTAAGATCCAAAGACAATTTAAGTTCATAAATTTAGAGACCAAAGGAATAACATCAAACATCTTTTCTTCAATTCAAGAGGTAAGCCCCAACCTAATTAAACTTCATTTAGGCTTAAATAACTGGCCTCTTCCTTTAGCAGAGGGGACCTAAAGCCCAAGTTTGGTATACCAAAACATGACTGTCTAAGAATAAATGTTTCTTGAAGTCCTTGCATCCGTTGCTTTATTTAACTCTCCCAATGGCTTGACATATTAAGGCCTACCTCTCTCATGGATGGAAACATTTTTCTGAAGTCCATTAGGAGGCTATGAATCAGCAGTATTAGGATTTCAAATATGAAGGGGGTTTTACTTATTTCAGTCAAGCGAAACCTGCTATTTTTTTATTTGGAAACAATAGAACATCATCATCATTAAAGAAAATAGTGCATGGACGGACAAGAAGTCCTCAAAAGAAAGAAAGAAAGAATGAAAAGGAAAGCCTACGCAACTACAAGACTGATAACAAAAGGAAAATGAAGAACTCAAAGGGGATCATTATTCACATACTTGAGTCTAATGGTCTTTAACAACAAATAAAGAAATCCCTTCAAAGTCCTTGGACATGCACACCCTAAGAGAGACAACAAAAGAGATTTTTTCCATAGATCTTCCCAATAGACCTCTTTTTCCTCAAAAATTTGCTCATTTCTTTCCAACCAAACCCCAAACCAAGGTCAACACTGCACATCTCCAAAAAATTCTTGGCTTTAGCACATGAACCAAAACCATCAAAATCAATACTAAGCAACCACGCATCCAAAAGGCATTTCGAAAGGGCCGAAATGCACAAAACATTTCAATTTTATGAAATGAAAAGGGAGGGGTGAAATTTCAGAAATCTTCTGTTTCCACCAAAGCGGCACCATTTCGACCAATACGGGCATAACAATAGCCTGATTCGAAGAAGCAATTTAACTGCAAAGAGAAGAGATTTGTTCATCTCATCTGAAGAAGACTTCAGCAAAGGAAAAAGTGAGAAAAAATAAAAGGAGAGAGAGAGAGGAAGAAAACACAGCAAAGCAAGTTGGAGTAGAAGAGGCAGTCCATCCAGCACCCACAGACACAGGCACAACCAGATTTGAACCAAGTTATGTTCTTCTTCCGATCTCTTCCTTTTCTTCTTTACTCCTCCTCTCCTACTTCTTCCCAGAATCCTTTTCCTTTACGTACCTACTCTGTCTGCATCTCTCTCTCCATTGGCCAACACTTGAGTCGCTTGCCGAGTCCAGTCGCTGCTTTTGCTCTCTCTCTTTCTCTCCGATCTATGCTAGGCATTCAGTTGTCTCTCTATCTATTTTTGCTTCTCTTTTCTTTTTTTCTTTTCCTACTACTTTTACAGAATATGTTAGTAATTTTTATTCTTTGCAAATTGTCATATTTGCCCAATGCCCTTAATTATTAAAACTCTTCCATTTGTATAGCAAATGCCTACATAATCTAATCAGTATAAATGGAACAACATTAATTACTAATTTGATGGCACAAATAATACAATTGGTCTACTACCATTTTTAAATTGTACTCAATTAATGATACACACTACTAAAGATGGATGTTTAGGCAATAAACATGCCTCATTAATCTATCTATTGTTAAGTATATCTACCTAAATAAAGAGATTTTAATTTATGTTTCCACGAAGTTCCACATGTTTCCAAATTTTTTCTCTATTTTCCACTGCATTTGCGAAACGTTTCCGAAAGGTTTTCATTTTCGGGCTGACTAGAACTAGTTCTTTGAAATGCATTTTTGATCCTTGTGAGCAGCAAATCACAGATACTTGGAACCACCTAAGGTATCCTAATGACATCCGAGGGGTAATCCCACAAGTAAAGAGACAAAAGCAAAATGAAGAAACAAATGATCGATGCTCTCCCCTTCTTTCTTACAAAGGATACACCATTACGTTTGAAGAGAATATAACCTCCTTTTTTGGAGCAAANTCGATGCTCTCCCCTTCTTTCTTACAAAGGATACACCATTACGTTTGAAGAGAATATGACCTCCTTTTTTGGAGCAAACCAATACCATTTAGTCTCTTATGTGCAATTAATCATGCAAAAACTTGTATCTTTAAAGGTGCCTTACTCTTTCAAACAAAAGAACAAGGTTGAAAGAAAGAATAAGATGGTTTAGCAATCAAAGAATCTAAGAAAGAATTGCAAGAAATTCAGCCAACGAAGAAGGGATCCATCNAGAAAGAATAAGATGGTTTAGCAATCAAAGAATCTAAGAAAGAATTGCAAGAAATTCAGCCGACGAAGAAGGG